AAGTAAGCAAATTCATTTAACATAAATTTGAAAAATAGACAGTATATTTTTTGTTTACATACATTAAAGTAAAAGTTATAAATTTTTTACTATTTATCATAAAAAGAAAGCTTTTTCTTAGCAACTCATTAGCTAACCGGTCTTGATAATTGTTACTTTAAACATAACTGCAAAGAATCAATAAAAAAAAGGAAAGTATACTAAAAATAAAGCAGGCAGAATAATGTTTATAAGAATTCAGTCTTACCTTCTAAAACACTAAGCAGTCTTTTTTGTAGTTTTAATTTTAATCTAAAGTTAATTATGCTACAATAAATGCTATTTCACAAAAAATTTTCTTCTTGCTTTCGAGATAATTCGTACAAACTTACAGAATCTGATTTGTACATTGTATTTTGGTATACTGATATAACCAATCAGAACACAATTCACAGCCACTAACACCTCTTTTATATCAACAAAAAAAATTTGCTACTACGTTACCAATGATCATTTTTCTACTAATTGAAATTATCAAGAAATCTTCTCGACAATTTTTTTACAAATGTCAAAATTAAAATTGTCATTGAATCTTTTTTAATAAACAACAAAATAATGTGTAATTGATCGCAATATTAACTAAAATGTTTATTCTATAATCTTGACAAGTCAAGAATCAAATTGAAGACAAGAGCTTTAGTACTAAACAGTGCAAAAGATTTCCACCAGTTCTATAATATAGAGTATTTTACGGTTTTTTGCCAAGCACTTGAATCTATAAAAAACCTCAAGAATATTTTTGTCTTGTATTATGCTTATTCTATACAAATCTCTACAAAATTATTTTCTTCTTCTCTTACCATTATGTATTATAATAATGTTATCGCTTATTAGACGAAAGATTCAGCTAGAAGCCATAAACTTCTTCTGCACGTTGTATTCTGAAAACGTATACCGCTGTATCAGTTGGCACGCCTGTTACAGTTTTCATGTTCATAACCAAAATTTACGATTCTGAAACCACAGCAGTAGAGGTGGCCTAGAAGTAAATCCATTAGCTAGATAATCAAAGTTTCCTATTACAGCAGTTAATAGCTTAATCCTGCTCTTATTTGTACTAGCTTTTACTGCGAATGCAAGAGGAAGTTTGAAGAAAACTCAAAAAATGTCAAATACACATCGAAACATTTCGCTTTTTTTATCATTTTCTGAGAAATCAAAAAGATCTAGAGCTTCTTGCTTTGGCTTTTAATTACAGACCATCTTGATCAAAATTTTTTCTAAGAAATAGAATAACTTGTGCGCTTATTTCAACTGCAATTTTTCAGATTTGATGTCAACTTTAATGAAGTGTTTCATGTCAAGTGATAGATTAAAGTAATTTTCTCAGCATAAATAAATTTCTTTTAAGAAATTTTTGCTTAACGAAAACTTTTTCAAAACAGTTTTGCAGAAAAAAAGTTAGATAAAAAAAGTCCTTAATTCAAATGTTTCAATACATTGTTTAAAAAAAAAAAGATTCTTTTTAGCAAAATTTTACTTCCTTTTGACATAATGCTTTACAAAGACTAAACGTACCTTCTTTTCTTTTATTTGGCTTCAATGACAGAGCGAACTTGAATTCAAATATGATAAAACGATAGCCTGATTTGAAAATATGCAGTATTTTTGTCTTTAAACAAAGAAGGTTTCAGCGTTTCAATATTTTTTTTTTTAACTACTGACAGTTATATAATTTGCTGCATTCTGACAAATAAATAAGAGAGAACTTTACGTTATTTTTGCTTGAAATTCTGTAAGATTTATTACCAAACTTACATGTATTATGGCAATTTTTCCGAGGTCGTAAAAGCGGCAGTGCTTGGTTCAGCATTTACTTAGTCGTT